TTAGATGCCATGTTTCCTTCTACAGGAGCCCATGAGGACAAAATGCATTTACTGATTTGTAACAAACGGTTACAAAACTTTCACCATTCTTAAATGTTGTTGTTTTACACATTTACCTGTTCACTTGTTGCCAGTGATGAAAAGGGGTCTGATGTGCTTGTTATTTGGCTGAAGTTTGCATTCCCCAGCGCTTTTTGATCCTAATGGGCATCCGTTGGTGGGTCTTACTCCAACACAAAAATACTGCTTGTTTGCAACAATTTAGGTATCTTCTGCCCCCTGTCGCCAGGAAAAATACACACTGTCACTTTAAGACTGGGGTTCGTAGCACAACATAATCAAAGAAAGGAGAAGATTGTGAAATTTGAACAGCTATAGCCCCCCCTCCTCTTCTGGAAGGAGCTGTATGCCACTTCTCATACTGCGCATGTACACAAGTAGTGTTGTAGCTCTAAGAGAGGGCTGCATGTTCCTGCTCAGATACATCTGAGTCTAACTGCTGAATGATCTCTTCAGCCTTCATCAGGTTCTGCAGGAGCTGCTAATCACTTGTTTTAATCAAATCTGCAATGTTCAAGCAGGGAAATATCTAAAACTCGCTGGAATCCAGCACTCGAGATGTTAGCACACCTCTGCAAATGCTACAACAGGCTAAAACGTCCATTGTAGCAAAAGGTTGTGTGCTACTCTAATCACTTAGCTCCAGTACTCAAAAGATAAATCCCTTTTGGTTCCCCTCCCTTCTCTTCCCCAGTTAGCTTGAAGTTTACAGACTGATTTTAATTCAATGCAGGCCGAGTTAGCATTCAAGCTAGGTTGATGTGCTAAGCTGACCGAGGCATCTGCATGACCCGGTAGTGCATGCTGGGAACTAAGAAGTGGCAGCTTCCTCTTGTGGATATGCAGCTCTATTGATCAACTCTAAATGATTAGTTTATCCCATGGCTCTATTGGTTGTGGTCACACAGGCATAGAAGACTTTTTGACCAGGAGGAAACACAGAAACCTGTCTTTTTTTCATTTTTATTCTGTCTCATGTATGGGTTTCAATCCAAATCCTTTAAATATTTTAAAACTTATAAAAATGTAACCTCTTTTTTTCCAAGTCTGTTCTAACTTGCTCGCGTTGGTTTATTTTGTAAGTCGTTGGACTAATAACGTGTTGATTATTATACAGTAATAGTGAGAATTCTGAAAATGCCTTTATATCCAACAACTGATTATTAAAAACTATTTATATCCAATAAGACATGAATAATAATTATTGATGTACTTGTTTACTTTGATAATCTTTGAAGTTTGTCTTTCTATTTAAAGAAGGTTTTTTTCATTCAATATTAAACTGTTGAGTTGTAAATGTCAGTTATTCATATCATCCAGGCGGTTAAATTTGTTCGTATGAAATCTGACCAATTTAACAAAAATTAGTAACTGGCTGAAATATCAAAGTAATCACAAGTGTCAACACTCAAAAGCAGATTATGTGCCACAGTGGTGCCAAAAGCACCAATGAATGATCCGTTAGAACGAGCTGCACTGTGGTTGATGTGGATTAGAAATGTGTGTAAACCATCGATTTATATATATATATATGGACAATGGGTTTCCATAGGCTCCAATAACACTTTTTTGAGGAAAAATGGGAGGTGGCCACCACCGCCATTTTGAACATGTCACAGGTTCCGTCAAGCCCAGACAATTCCACAAAAGGGAAGAGAGGTAGAGCTGAGGGTGGGGCTGCAAGGCTGGGATCAACTGATGACACGCAGTCGAACTAGCTACAAGCTAACCTGAAGCTAATCCAAAGCTAACGTGGAGGTGGGAGCTAAGCTAATGGAGGTAGCTACCTAGCTACAACCGGAGTTAACGCTGTGGAACACCAGTGACCTGAAGCTCACACAGAGTTTGTGTGGAGGTTTGCAGCGCTTTTTCATGAAAACTATCTTTCTGTGAATATAAAAAGTATTAAATCGGTAAGTTTATATTATTTCCTTAATGAAAATATATTTTGCTTTGAGCAAGTTTTCAATTTAGCATTTTTTCCGGACTATAAGTCGCTCCGGAGTATAAGTCGCACCAGCCATAAAAAGTATAATGAAGAAGAAAAAAAACATATATAAGTCGCACTGGACTATAAGTCACATTTTGGGGGAAATTTGATTATTTTTCTTACAAAATCTGAGACCAAGCGTTTCACATTGCAAGACAAGTACCGGCGACAATAACAACAACGCGGGCGCAGCAGCGCACCACGGTCTCCAGCAGAGGATGGCGGTGTTTGAAATCCTCCCAGCGGGATAGGGGAGCTCATTCCTGCAGCAGGTGATGGCGGGGCAGAGGAGCTGAAACCTGGGCCGGATCCAGTGCGCAACGGCGTGCAACAGGCTCCAGCAGGTGATGGCTGTGTGTTTTTAATTCCCTGCGGGGCAGATGAGCTGAAACCTGGGTCAGATCCAGCCCGCAGCTGCGCGCCACAGTCTCCAGCAGGTGATGGCTGTGTGTTTTTAGTTCTCTGCGAGTCAGAGGAGCTCACTTCTGGGCCAGATCAGGTGCGTAACGGTGCGCCACAGGCTCCAGCGTGTTTTTTATTCCCAGCGGGGCAGGGGAGCTCATTCCTGGTCCAGAGCCGGCCCGCAGCAGCACGGTATTGCCTACATAATTTGGTATATAAGTCGCTCTGGAGTATAAGTCGCAGGACCGGCCAGACTATGAAAAAAGTGTGACTTATAGTCCGGAAAATACGGTAATTATTAGCATTTGAGATAAATTAGCAGGCTAAATACAATTCATATATTTCTAAAACTTAATACTTGTTTGTATCTTGTACAGCCAACTAGCCTTTATTCTGGACTCAGTACAATTCACCAAAAGTAAAGAGACATTATACAGATGCTTTGAGCATGTACATGACACAAGAATTTCCCTCGGGATAAATAAAGTTGTTCTTATCTTATCAGGGTGTCCGCGGGGTTTTAAAAAGTATTAAAAAGTGATAAATAAAAATAGTCAAATTTAAGGCCATTAAAAGTGTTAAATTTGGTCTCAGATGTATTATTTTTTCCAAATTAGGTATTATTTTTTCAGACTATCAGATGTCGTATTCTGAACATCGACATAGAAATATATTCCGAATGAAATGTTTTGAACGATTATAAAAACAAAACAAGCCGATTATTTGCTCCTCCCACTTGCGCTGCCCTGAGTTGCAAATGAAGCGCTCCTCCACAGTGTTGGCAACTTGGCGACTTTGATGCTATTTCTAGCAGCTTCTCAGACCCCCTTCTTGGCTTCTTAAATCTTAAAAGTACCTAGTGAACACCTCAGAAACATCTCTGGTGACCCTTAGCTACTTTCTGGATAACTGTCGTCGACGTTTCCTGCAGGTTAGCTAAACACTCCGCCTGCGCTCCGGACCGTTCTTCACAACATTAGGAAAGGGAATGATGTAGTGATGTGTCGGTCGCTAAAGAAACGGCTCTCAGAGTCGGCTCCCTGTTGGATTAACCAGAGTGAGTGAGACACACCGTACCTGCAGACTGCTGAGCCGCTAAAAACGGCTAAATGTGCGCGTGCGGCGCGCTAAACACACATGCAGCTTGCCCCTGATTGCTGTGAGACCGGGTTGGGGGGTGGGGGGTGCAGCTGTGGTTGGGCCAATTATTACATTAACTGATGGACTTGTAAATACATAGTTTATAAATAAGGTAGAAATAAGTTCCTCACGCTGATAACTAATAACTAACCTCTCTGAGGACACGGTGCTAGTGTATTCTCCTACAGCACCTTGACACGACTCAATAAATGTTATGCAACATTTTGTGAACATCAATTTATTTGCATTAATTTGTTAAAAATGCCACTGTATAATTCTTGCTGTCAGTATTTGCAAGATATTGGTATTTGGGTCTGTACTGGTTAGACTTAAATGAGTTAAACCAAGGTCTATAGCCCTTGGGTCATAAACTGTGAGCTATAAGTATATTGGTCTTTTTATATTGGGAATCAGGAGTTATTTTAGTGATCATTTTGTTTCTTATTTATTTTTGTCCTGATTGTGCCCTGAGCAATTTTATGGCTGAATAAAATCAACACAAATTGAAAAATCGTCTTAAATAATTGAGATCTCAATTTCAGTCACAATAATCGTGATTATTGTTTTCGCCATAATCGAGCAGCCCTACTTTAGCATATCCGGTCACATAATGATGACGTCATATTTAGTGGTCGTTGTGCATCATTTCAGGCCTCGTGGTTAACTGTCTGAACCGCTGAACAGAAGTGCCTGGCTTATTTTCTAAGTAAAATAAATATGTGCAATACGTTGTCAACATCAGTGAGTCTCTAAGTCTATTCTTTTTGTATGTTATATATGTTAAAATATGTGTAAATAGGTCGCTGATTAACCCTTTTTAATTTAGTGTTGTGATGGTTGTAAAAAAAATTCTGAAGGTAGTAAAGAAAAGTATTAAAAAGTAGTAAATTTTACTTAAGGATTGCTGTATATACCCTGCTTATGAAGTAAGCACAAGATAACTTACTAGAAGAAATGGAATTATCATGAGAACCAGAACAAGAGAGCCTGATAACAGTCATGTGAAAATAATAATTAAAATGTACGTATGTATAATAGAAATAAAAATATATTAGAATGACAAATGATAAATGACCCACACTTGTATAGCGCCTCGCAGAGTAAGGACTCCAAAGCGCTTTACACTACACTGTATCATTCATCCATTCACACACTCATTCACACACTGATGGTGATGAGCTACGATGTAGCCACAGCTGCCCTGGGGCACACTGACAGAAGCGAGGCTGCCGAGCACAGGCGCCACCGGTCCCTCCAATCACCATCAGCAGGTAAGGTGGGTTAAGTGGTTAAGAATTAGTGTAACTCACTGTGATCCAAACAATAAATCAGCCATAGCTGATTAGCAATCATGAAATGAGGTCTGGGAGTTTTTAAGTTTCATTCTTTCATTACATTTTTTTCTTAGATCTGTTAAAAAGTCACCATGGCAGCCTGTGTGTCTTCAACGTCGGCTACACAACGCAGCAAGTGTAAGTACCAAGAACCTGTCTTGACCACTTCATGTATGGTTTTGTACTTTAAACGGCTAAGCCAAATCTGATATTTAATTCACCATAGCCATTTGGGTCATTGGAAACAGCTACATGAGGCGTGGTGCCCAGAGAGCTGCAGAGACCCTCGGAGACAACCTTGGCCTCCCTGACATCCGCGTCTCCTGGTTCGGTTGGGGCGGACTGAGGTGGAAAGACCTTCTCCCCTTCTTTTTCCACTCCCTGCGAGGAAGAGCAGCTCCTGATGTCCTTCTCATCCACTGTGGCGGCAATGACATGGGGGTGGTCAGCGGTGTGAAGCTGGTCAATATGATGGAGGACCTGCACCAGCTTCACCTTCTACACCCTCATATGATGTTCATGTCATCCATCACCCAAAGGTGTAGATGGAGGGCAGGTGTAAAACCTGCTAAAATTCAGAAGGCCAGGAGGTTTGTCAACAGTGTTATGGCTACATTTATTTCTAGCTTAAATGGTGCAGTTGTTGTGCATCCTCACATCAGACATGACAGTCCAGGGACATTTTTGTCAGACAAAGTTCATTTCACAAATAGGGGAAATTATATTTTTTTAACTAATATTGCCGATTGTCTTAATGGCCAGCTCCAAAAGCAGTGAAAGACTTCCAGGTGGGAGTCTCGCTGCTTTTGAAATTTGCCTTTAGGACAGGTTTATTTTCAGGCCAACAGGATAAACATATCCTTGACTGTTATAACTAATATGTTGTTGATATCATTTATCTATAGCCATAACACTGTTGACAACTCTGTTCTTCCTTCACAACCCAATGTTCCACTCACTCTGCAGCTCTGTGGGCCCCTTTTATTATTTAAAGTTTTTTTTAAATGTACTGACACTTTGTGTCCTGTTATTTTATAAAATGTGATGTAAAAAATTAATGTTTTTGCTCAATTACTGGAATTTCTTTGGTTAAGACAAAAAAGGAGGGAAGAATCATTCATGCCAAGTTATTTCTACAACAGGCCCATTTTAAGTCCAACAGTTTCTTAGCAGCCAATAGAAATGTGTTCTTTACTAACTTTACTTGGTTTAAAAATCTTAATAAACTAAACCTTAGAGGCTCCCGTAATGCAAAACCCAATCATACTTGTTATGTATCCAAGTAAATATTAGCTTTGTAGATATTTGTAGATATTTTTTACAGATAGTGTTACAAGCCAATTTACTGGGCTAGCTCCACTCTTCTAGATTTTACTAATATCTCAGGGTTTGGCTTGTAAACGGTGTAGTGAATGTGGCATGCCAGTTTGCCAACAAACACTCTTACTCTGTAGAGAGTTGATTAGCAATCACCACATTACCCAGAGCTTCTAACTCTGACCAAAATTAGTTCAAGCAGACAAAGAGGAGGCACAAACACACCTACACACCCCCCCAGTCCATGAAGCTTACCGTAAATCCTCTAATACAGGCCCGGGCCTGTATTTTACTCAAGCTCATCAAGCTCCAGGCCTTTATTGGAAGGAGGACCAGAATTAGAGGCAGGCCTCAATTTCTATTTGAGCAAAATGAACTAATGGTTCGCTGGAGTTTTTGACAATTAAAATTGCGCCCACATTTTCAAAGTTAAACACATTTCTTTTAACAACGGTAGTTTCTGCTTCAGCCCTCTCCCCCTCCCCCTGCGCAGCAGCCGCAAACTCACTGATGCGCCTGCAGACTCTCTGAGTTCCTGCTGCTCTAACCATTAAAATAATTATTCCATTTTCTGTTCCTCACTTCTGATTACCTTCAATTGTGTCAGTTTGTTGCAACCACCTGGTACAAAAACTAACTTGGTTTTATTTGACTATTTTTCTGTCCTGTCTGTTTATCATCTTCCTGCATCTCCTCTCAATCCTAAAGAAAAACTGCTACCTGGGTTCATATATGGGTTTATACCTTATGGGTTACCTTTGAACTGCAGTTCTAAAAGATCTACCGACCGCAAAAACAGCGGAGTGCGTGCTGCTCGCTGGCCGCATCAGTTAGGTGCGTCACCGAAGGACAAAACAGGTGATGCGCCCTGCTCCACGGCAGCAAAAAGCATCAGGCACAAATAAAAGACAGAAAACATAAAAGGAAATGAGCCGACATGAACGATCGCATGTTAAATTAGTTTTTGAGGTGGCGACACCTGATTTGATAATGTTACTGTGGCCGTGCTCAGGATGCAGATGTCTGGAGTGGTGGTGAAGGGAATGTTAAATTGCAAGAGGTTAAACGTCACAATTTGGTTAAATGTCCGTTTTATGGTGGGTGTCAGTACCGACGCTCTGGCACAGCGTGTTGCCGCCCGACGCGCAGGAGCTTGTCACCTGCTGACAGCAGGCTGCTGTCCTTTCCGAGGCCTGCATCTTGCCGGTCATTATCACGTGACAGCGACTAGTCGATGACAGGCATAAAAAGTCACTATAGAGCGGTGAAGTCGACTAGTGACTAGTTCATACAACCCCTGCTACTGCTCCCCAGAGTGTTCTGCAGTATAATCAGCACGTTCTCTTTGAACTTGATGTCAAAATTTCGTCCCCTCTTTGTCTCCGCACCTGCCATGGTTAAAGTTACCCTCGCGGTCTATCACTGGCAAATCAAAAGTAAGACGGATGTCACAACCGCCCCCCTGTTGTACTTGCTTGTTACCACATTCCACCCGGCCACAATAAAAAAAAAACGGCCATTATTCACCTCCGCCGACTCCGACACCGGCCAAAATGTGATACCCGGTCGTTAATTGAATACAGGCCAATATTAGAGGATTTACAGTATGTACACTTCAGGTTAAGACCCTTGCCAGCTGTTCCTTTTATGCTGAGGAGACAACTGACTTTACCTGTAGCCTAGGATGGAGGAAACACTTATATCAATACCTTGGGATGGCATTTGCAACCAGCATCTCACCTTTGCTCGGTTACCGACAGGAGGAGACCCCACTCGTAAATCCTTTTTTCGTTCCACGAATCCGAAGAACTAGGTTTTATTTCACACAGATGAAAAAAGAATAATAATCCAAATGAATCCCTGACAAAGCGGGTTAAAAAGTGAAACAACTCTTTGCCAATAAACCGATTTATAGCAACGTTGAGCTGAATAAGCTCTCCAAAAATGACACTAGGTCACATTATCACAGACAAAAAGCTCAAAGCAAAAGCTTCCTTCTTTCCATCTCTGTACCTCACACACTCTTCCCATCAAAGTCCCACCTCCTAAAAACTCTCAAAAGCCTTTCTCCAAAAAGCTCAGTTGATGACGGACTGACTCTCTCACTCATCCCATCAAGCGCATTCCCTGAACAGACCCAATATCTTCCTTTTATTCACTCTGTCCCCCCTCTCTCACAGTCATTTCTTTGTTTGCTGCTTCAGACTTCAGACTTCCTGGTCACGTGTTCCTCTTCTTGTTACTTCTCCAGTGGCCCCAAAGAGACCATAAATCTTGAATGTCATGATGTCACCTTTTCTTCTCCCAGTCTTTATCCATTCACTTGTTTCTTCTTCTCAGCGCCTCCTGCAGGCTTCCTTTCTTCTCCTTTGGGATTACATCACCTCCTCTCGTAGCCATTGGTCAGTAGGGGGGACGTGGCATGATTACCCCTTCCTTTTCTTCTGCCCAGGATCAAATGGTCATCTCCGGCATTAGCTGGACAAGATGTCTTATTTATATGGTTATAGCATCTTGACCAACTCCACAGAGGATAAAAGATAACATACATGCTTACTCCCAACATCTGTTCAGGTCAAAACATGTTATATCCACAAGATGAATCGTTAGGCCATATCAGCAGAGTGAAGGCACATCACTAATTTACGACATCACAGTTCAGGGGGCTAGAAGGCTGCCATGGACAAACACACACACACAAACATGATAAGAGAAGGTAACAGGCCTTTAGCTTTGTTTCACACACACACGGATACACCTTGCAGAGCCTAGAATTGATTTCACATAGTGAGAGACATAATCCAGACTTAATTCCATACATTAACAAGTCTGATTATACTCCATACAACAGATATATATTTGTGTGCTAAAAAAAACCCATAAACTTAAATAATTTGTCATTCTTTATTGAAAAACAACAAAATACAGGTATACAGAAAGTGTGGGAAAATGATAATGTGAAAGTATTGCTCTTTAAATGTAATACTATTTATCTTTAAAAAGAAAAACTCTAAAAATGTCCTGTACAGCAACATGAAAGAATGGTGGTCTGTCTGTCAGAATGTGCTGAACAGATTTGCTCTATCAAGAGGAGCCTTTTGTGTACGAGGTTCCCCTTGAATAAAAATTTATGTTATTGTAATATTGGTTTGGGTTATGCTACAGATAACTCAGCAAGGCCACATCCAGAACTGGGCTGACAGTTCATGGGCCACAGGACACAGGAATCACTCAGCAATTTCACCTGAAACAGAATAATTTAAATTAGTATCAAATAGGGTTGTCACGGTAACCGGTGTAGAGGTAAACCCCGGTAAAAACGTTGACAATAATAATAACCGTCTTGTTTTTAAAAAAAACTATATTATCTCGGTGGGTTACCGTGGCTGCGGTGTAGGCACGGTGACCCTTACCAGCCATCGTATCATCTGCCGAAGTTGCTGGCAGCACATGCACACTTTGTTGTTTACAACCAAAACTTTCTTGAAGCTAAAGCTGAAATAATGGCCAAAGGAGGAGACGGCAGCACTCAGGACATTTTTTATCCCTCAAAGAAGACAAAGTGGGAAGTACGGGCATCTTTTGGATATTTGAATCTAATGACACATCTGCGTGACCATCACCCACAACTCTACAGTCAACGCAAGGATAGTTAACGTTAGCGCTTTAGCTAAAATGCGTGATCCGAGGATTTGGGTTGAGGGAGAATGCAACAAGTCGCTATATGAAGCAGCCGCAGCGCCAGCTACCTGCATATAAACCGTGTCGTGGACACCCCCATGTTGAAAAGACGCTATGCATTACAGGGCTCCCAGGGGCAGATAAGAGTTGGTCTTTCTCTGAGAATAATTATGAATTTAACAATGATTACTGCCTGATGACATTTTCCCACATCTGCAAAGCTCACTGGAACACAAACCGAGGACAATATTATCCTGATATAGGGTTTATTACTCAAGTAAGGGTAAAAAAGTATCTGATTAGAAGGCTACTTGAGTATGGAGTATCATCTGATCTAATATTTTTAAAATGATGACATCAAACAGACATAAAATAAGAAGTTGTGGGCAAATATTGGTATTTTAAAGACTAAAGGGAAAAAATGTAAACAAATAAACAACATAATTACAAAATAACACATTTTAGGCTAAATTTAGACACAAACTGAGGACAATATTTCCTGACATACAGGGTTTATTTAATTGTGTGAAAATGTAGCACGTTTAAAAAAAATACCGCGATAATACCGAAAACCGTGGTCATTTTGGTCACAATAATTCAATTCAATTCAAAAATACTTTATTAATCCCAGAGGGAAATTGATTAAATATATATAACCGTGAGGTTAAATTTTCACACCATGACAACCTTAGTATCAAATACAACTCCCCATCCCCGCATATTTCTCTCCTCCTGCTCCCTCACATCATCACACAAACATACACATAGGACCTTGGGGGGTGGACAAGTCAGGGAGTGCGGGTATGGACCCCATTTCCGCATTCCTGTGGCAACCTGCCCCCCAATTTTATTTGCACCTTATACACTTCCACCGACGACATTCCACGCAAACACACACTTAGGGCCTTGGGAGTGAGCACATTCAACGGCATTTGGCAGGAGGATTTCTCAGCCTCCTCCCGAGTGCCGGTGCCCACTTCCAATTTTAAACTGCACTTAGACACCGAGGGCTGTGGGTGCAAGTGGGGTGGTGCTGTGGCATCCGCTGGCATAGGCCAGACAATGCCTGCACTGCCCGCTCACCACAGCTATGGAATACACCTCATCAACACACAACACTATAATGGAGCAGGCAGAGGGGGACTAGGGGTCTTAGCACACCTCTGTTGTTGCTTGGCTTCCTGGGGCTGGAGACTAGGAGGGAGATCTGGCCGTCTGGTTGGGGTCTGGGGTGGTGGGTTGCTGGGCTCGGCGTTGGGCGGGGTAGCCTGCTCATCAGCACCCCAGCAGAAAGGGTCAAACTCTGGTAACCGGTGATGGTTGTACCCAGTGTGCAGCAGTACCGGGACCAGAGTGAATAGGGTGTGTATGGGGAGCATGAGTGGGTGTCCGGCGTGCATTTTTGTAAGTCTTTGGTTGTATGTGTATGTGTGAGCATGAGGGAGGGATTGTGTGACTGTGTTTGTGTATGACTGTATATGTCAGGTGGGGCTTTTGACTCCTCCCCTCTCCTGGGACCTCCTTTGATGATATAGATCTTCGTCTCCCCTCCCCCTGCCACACCTGGTATGGGGTGTGGTGCCTTGGTCTGCCTGAGTGTTCGTGGCTCCCGGGTCAGGGGGTTTAAGATCTTTGGCGCCTGCCTGGTCAATCCCGGTGGCTGCCTGGTGGGGTCTGGGTCCCTGGGCTCTGCTGGGTCCTCGGCGGGGGTGGTCGCCCCTGGGTCCCGGGTCGCTGGGTCCCGGGCTCGGCCGGCTAGGGGGTGGGGACGGCGGGCGGGCCTGTGGGCTTGCCGCTGATATCTCCCGGGGCTCTGCCGGCTGCTGGTTGTGGCCCCCCGGGGCGATCCTCTGTGCCTCTCGACGGGGGCGGGGGTCTTTCTGGTTGCAGTCCCCTTGGGGTTCCTGTGTTCTGGGGCAGCACCTGGGTCTCTGGGACGTGTGTGTGTGTATGTGTGCGTGTGTGTGTGTGTGTGTAAAAGCCATGTAGAGAGTGTTTTTTATTTATAAAGCATATGTTGTTAGATTTTATCCAGAATCCAGACTTTGAAAATATATATTTTAATTACAGTTTGATTTATTTGACACCAGTAGAATGTTTATTATTTTGTTAATTTCAAAACCTAACCCTAACTTGTTCTCCTGCGTACTGCCAGTGATTCCCTAATTAAACTGTTTCGGTCATTGGACTGACTCAGGGGGAATTCATTGAGTTATATCTACTGAACCTAACCTAGCCTGTGCCTCGGACAACCAGGGCTCCATTCAAACCACATGCTGGCAACCAGAATACTCTCTCTGACTCTGGCTTCTCCACTTCTTTACGTTTTATTAATTTCCATCATTATACATTACAATAGTATTTATAAAATCTCAAAAATGGTATTATTAGACTAGTTACTGGGAGCCCGGATGGAGTTAACATAATTTATTGGAAACACCTGCATCAAAAGGAAAAGTACCGGAGACCTGTGAAATCACACACAGGGCAGAGGGGGAGGTTGCAACGTAAATTAACTCCACCCATCCTCTCTTGTTACCTTTATAAAGGCCTCCCCTCCGGGTCTGAGCAGTGTTGCCAACTCGGTGACTTTGTCGCTGTTCCTAATGACTTTTTGACCCCCCTCAATGACTTTTTTTCCAAAAGCGCCTAGCGACAAACCTAGCGACATTTCTCAGGACCCGTTGCTATTTTCTGTAGAACTTTCTTGTAGATATTCCCCACAGATTAGCAAAAAAGAATCCATTTGAACCGTTCTTCCGGGAGTAAGGAAAGAGGACGATAATCTGCACATGTGCACGAGGACTGACCAATCATAAACCGTTTTCGGCCGGGCTGATTCGCCGAAGACAGAGTACAGCAGCAGAGCTGCAGACCACCGACATCTGCTGCTGCTGCAGGCTCACGCTTCTACTAGAGACGGAGCAGGCGTCAACCTGCGATCTCTGGTTCTGCAGCCGTCAGACACTTGACTTTTCCTGCATTTGGCAAATAAAGTCATCGGGAGTTTCAACTACCATCCCGTTTACACACGAAGCTCTGTGGCTCATCTGAATTTCCTTCAGTGACACAGGGATGGTTATACTATGAGACAACCGGCCCCTTTTGCTCGGTGTGCCGTTATTGTCACGATGGAGAGAATACACAAACTAGGAGGTGTAAAAAAACTGCTTTTTAGTAAAATGTCTGTGAGAATGAGGAGAACAGGTCTGAGTTCAGTCGAATCTTAGTTTGAGGTTGATTGCTGATTGGCGACACCTGGCGGTAAGGCGTTTCCTGTTTTCAGTGTTGCCTTACGTGTAGCTGTTTGGTGTTTGGGGCTCGCTAAAACTGATTTAATTTCTCTGTACTAGGATATCTCTGAGTTATTGTAGCACATAAGCATGCTAAAACACACATTTTCTGTTGTTCCACCTAGCTTTTAGGGAACATTTGAGTTTGCACGCAGTTTATTTTGTGTTGAACAGTTTGCTCGTCCAGTTAGCTTAGCCTCAGCACGGCTATGGCTACTTTTGTCTCTGCTTCTCCGTCTCCTATCTCTTGCTCTCTGTGTCAGATGTTTAGTTACTCCTCTGCCTCCTTTAGCGATAATGGTACGTGTAATAAATGTAGCATTTTTGTAGCTTTGGAGGCGAGGGTGTCTGAATTGGAGTCCCGGCTCCGCGCTGTTGAAAAACCCGTAAACAGCCGTAGCTACTTAGCTAGCGCAGGCCTAACTAGCTCAGAACAACCCTGTAGCGATCCTCCAGCAGAACCCGAGCAGCCAGGACCTCAGGCTGGCTGGGTGACGGTACGCAGGAAGCAAAGAACCCAGCCCGTGGGCCACCACCAACCCGTCCAATAGATTTTCCTTGCTCAGTGACGCACCCACTGACAAGCTGACTCTGATCATTGGCAGCTCCATAGTCAGAAACGTGGCATTAGAGGCTCCAGCAACCATAGTTAAATGTTTACCTGGGGCCAGAGCAGGCGACATTAAATCTTATCTGAAACTGCTGGCTAAGGATAAGCGTAAATACAGTAAGATTGTTATTCACGCTGGCGGTAACGACACCCGGTTACGCCAATCGGAGGTCACTAAAATTAATGTTGCTTCGGTGTGCAAGTTTGCCAAAACAATGTTGGACTCCGAAATTTTCTCTGGCCCCCTGCCTGATCGGACCAGTGATGACATATTTAGCCGCATGCTGTCCTCCAACCGCTGATTGTCTAGGTGGTGTCCTGAAAACAATGTGGGCTACATTGATAATTGGAAAACTTTTTTGGGAAAACCTGGTCTGATGCGGAGAGACGGCATCCATCCCTCTTTGGATGGAGCAGCTCTTCTTTCTAGGAACAAGACCAGTTTTATTAGTCCTCCATGACTACCCAGGGTCCAGACCAGGAAGCAGAGTCGTAGTTTAACCCACCCCTCTGCAGCTTCTGTACTGTTACCCACCCACTACCCCATAGAGACAGTGTCCTGCCCACGGCCAAAATCACACAGATTAAATATCAGGCTTAATAAAGCAAATCATGGAAATCTCATAAATATTAGAACAAATTCAACTGAGCAGAAAACTAGAAAAATTAAACGTGGGTTGTTGAACATTAGATCAGTTTTTTCTAAGACTTTGTTAGTTAATGAGTTGATTTGTGATAATCAGATCTCTTTGCTCTCTCTCACAGAATCCTGGCTGCAGCAAGAGGACTATGTTAGCTTAAATGAGTCGACTCCTTCAAATGATTTAAATCATTATATTGCTCGAAGTAAAGGGCGAGGAGGAGGAGTAGCAACCATTTTTCATTC